TTAACTCCTAAGCACAAGGACTTTCTACGACAATATATTATTTTCCGAAAAGACCGGGAGGATCCTGTCGTACCATCTGGCGGTGTAGCCATTATAGTCTATCGTAGTATAGCATGCCAGCATTTGAAGCTCCAAACGGCCCTGGAAGCAGTGGCCATTCGAGCTGTACTTTTTAACAAACTCATTACCATATGTTCTGTGTACATACCACCGCATCAACAGCTACACAGACGTGATCTGGAATCATTAATAGATGAACTCCCAGAGCCATTTCTGGTTCTAGGTGATTTTAATGCACACAATGTCCTGTGGGGCGATGCTCACTGTGATGCGCGAGGACGTCTCATTGAGCAGCTCCTTTTCTCTTCTCGTTTATGTCTTTTAAATATGAAGGAGCCTACATATTTTAGCCTTGCAAACAACACATACTCCTCCATAGATCTTAGCATTTCATCACCGTCCTTTTACCTGTTTTTAAGTGGAACGTTCTTAAAAACCCTTATGGGAGTGATCACTTCCCAATCATCCTGAGTGCGCCGAACAAAGATCAACTACCCCCGCAGATTCCTCGATGGAAGATTGACTCAGCTGATTGGGAAGGGTATAGAACTCTTACACACATGACATGGACTGAGCTGTCTGCCCTGACCATAGATGACGCTGTCACGTATTTTACAGCTTTTATACTTGATGCCGCATCTAAATGTATTGCCAAAACGAGTGGCATGTGTTCTAAACGGCGAGTCCCATGGTGGAACGACGCATGCAGGAAAGCACGGACCATTCAGAACAAAGCATGGGCGTTGCTTCGCGATTCCCCTACAGCAGAAAACCTGGAAAATTTCAAGCGGGTCAAATCGCAGGCAAGGAGAACGCGCCGACAAGCTAGACGAGAGAGCTGGACAAAGTTTATATCGAGTATCAACTCGTACACAGACGAGGGAAAAGTGTGGAATAAGATAAAGAAAATTAAGGGCCAACAAACGTATTCTCTTCCACTAGTTAATAACCTCGGGGAAAGCTTGGAGGATCAAGCCAACTTTCTTGGCACACATTTCGAACACATATCGAGCTCCTCACACTACTCCGAATCCTTCCAGAATTACAAGGCACAAATAGAAAAACAAAAGTTAGAAAGAAAATCCGCAAGAAATGAGGCATATAATGCACCATTCTGCTTAGCAGAACTGCGAACAGCACTCAGCTGCTGTAATACATCTACCCCAGGTTCTGACAACGTAGTGTACGCGATGCTGAAAGAACTACCCTCCAAAACTACAGAAACCCTCCTCTCTCCTTATAATCGCATATGGTTTTCGGGTGTGATCCCCTCCTCCTGGAAGGAGGCTGTTATAATTCCAATTTTGAAGCAGGGAAAAGATCTCTCTACTGTATCAAGTTACAGACCTATAGCATTAACAAGCTGCCTCTGCAAGCTATTTGAAAAAATGATTAATTGCCGCTTACTCCACTACTTAGAAACAAACAAATTGCTCGACCCATACCAATGTGGGTTTCGAGAGGGTAGATCCACCACCGACCATCTGGTGCGTATCGAGGCACAGATCCGAGACGCTTTCGCCCACAAACAATACTTCCTCTCTGTGTTTCTCGATATCGAGAAGGCCTACGACACAACATGGCGTTTCGGCATATTAAGAGACTTGTCTCACCTGGGTGTGCGCGGTAGAATGCTTTCCATAATCGAGAGTTACTTGTCCAATCGGAAATTCCGTGTCCGTGTGGGCAGTATTCTCTCCCAAACATTTGTGCAAGAAACGGGAGTACCACAAGGTGGTGTACTTAGTTGTACACTTTTTATTATCAAAATGAATTCCTTGCACCTGTCCATCCCCCGCAACATGTTCTATTCCACATATTTCGATGACGTCCAGCTTGGCTTTAGGTCTTGCAATCTGGCAATGTGTGAGCGGCAGGTTCAGTTAGGTTTAAACAAGCTCTCAAAATGGGCAGAGGAAAACGGATTCCGACTGAACCCACTAAAAAGCACGTGTGTCCTTTTCTCCAGAAAGAGAGGCATGCACTCAGAACCCGACATTGAACTGAACGGTCAACGTCTGTCTGTTAATACGGAGCATAAATTCTTAGGATTAATCTTGGACAACAAGTTGACCTTCGTACCGCACATCAAGTATCTAAAAACAAAATGTTTAAAAGCCATGAATGTTTTAAAAGTGTTGTCACGTACTAGGTGGGGTAGTGACAGGCAATGTCTCATGAACCTATATAGAAGCCTCATTCGCACCCGCTTAGATTATGGGGCCGTTGTTTATCAGTCTGCGACTCAAAGTGCTTTGAAGATGCTGGACCCCGTGCACCATTTGGGCATCCGCCTTTCTACGGGTGCTTTTCGCACCAGCCCCGTAGAAAGCCTTTATGTTGAGTCAAATGAGTGGTCGCTTCATCTGCGGAGAACTTACATGTCCTTTGTTTATTACCTTAAGGTGAAAGCAGACAAGAAGCACCCCTCATACTCTACTATTAATGATTTGTCGAGCTCAATTTTGTTTCAAAACAGGCCTTGGATGAGGCAGCCCTTCTCTATTCGCCTGAAGAGTCTAGCTGAGGAAACTGGAATCTCACTAGAACACAGTTTAATGGCTACTGTAGCATATCCGCCACCGTGGCAATGGCAGACTATAGACTGCGATGTGTCTCTTCTAGAAGTTACAAAACATGCGCCTATATCCCATATCCGAACATACTTCCTGGAACTTCAACACAAATACACACGTCCTGAGTTCTTTACAGATGCCTCCAAGTCTAACTCCTCTGTGTCCTACGCTGCTGTCGGCCCATCCTTTTCGGATGCTGGCCCTCTACATCCAGGCACAAGTATCTTCACAGCGGAAGCCTACGCGATACTTGTGGCGGCTAAATGCATCAAGCAATTACAAATACAAAAAGCAGTAATTTATACAGACTCCCTCAGTGTAGTAACGGCTTTGCAGACTCTTAAAAAACACAAAAACCCAGTCCTTGTCTCACTTTACTCCATTTTATGCACACTCTACACACTCAAACAACATGTTGTAGTGTGCTGGGTGCCAGGGCATCGTGAGATTCAAGGCAACGTGAGGGCGGATCAGCTCGCTGCATCCGTCCACAAAAGCACTGCCCCTACACCCATATCAATCCCGGCCCTTGATCTTAAATCATCTCTCAAACGAAACCTCAGAGTATACTGGCAGAGCAAGTGGGATACACACACACAAAACAAACTACACGTTATTAAGCCACACCTTGGTCATTGGCTGCCCGTATCGAAATCGCGTTATACAGAGGTAATACTAACGAGACTCAGGATAGGACACACATACACGACACACACACACCTTTTGTCCGGTGGCGATCCACCATTGTGTGACAGATGTGGTGAAGCATTGACAGTCCTTCCCATTTTAATTGAGTGCAAACAATTGGACACTGTAAGAAAACAACACTTTCCATTACCCTACCGGCAACATATACCTTTACACCCTGCAATGTTCGTCGGTAGGGAACCTCTTTTTAGTCACAAATCATTGTTAGCGTTTTTTAAAGAAATTCATAGTTTTCACATCATATACCCGGGCATCCCGTAGCATGACCTCTCCAGAGAGGTTTTTGCTGCGGTGGTTACACAAGAAAGCACTTGCCTCACGGCCCTTGGACGCAAGGGTATGAACGAGTGAGGCACTTGTGCTAATGCCATAGATATCCACCATCGTCTTTTATTATCACCAACTTTTGTCATCTATTCACACCGCACACACCTTTCACGACATGGTCATGATTTTATTACTTGTATGTTTTTACCCACCTTACCGCGAGGAATTTTATGGCCCTTATACAGCCGCTTATCACAATCATTGTCCATGTTTTTAGTAAGATGAACTGGCGCTCTCTGGCCGTGAAATGGCCCTTGCGCCATAAAACATCAAACATCATCATCAGATGGCCATCTGTGTTTACTAAAGAGGCACCTTGGTCCCCTCTCTCAGCGCTGTCTGAAACGGATACTGCGAATGGGGGCTGTAAAATTGTTTCCAAATGTATAAGTCCTGTGCTCGAGCAAATGCAGTTTTCAGTGGGCCATCAGCTTCTTATCACGACTGATCAAGCAAGGTGCAATATTTTTGTCGAATTTTCTGTAGTGTGTTGTTTTCAACGTAATAAGAAGCTTGGTATCCTTGATTGATTCATATTTGAAGTATTGAATTTTCATATGTGTGTTAATTAGTAGTGAGTTAACTAAGATTAATTTAGCTTTTTGATTTATTCTTTGTGGTTCATATTGAAAATTATGAATTGCAGCCAGCATTTTGTTTACAACTTGGGTGCACATTGAATGTATTTTTGGGGTGACAACAGCTTCTAAATATTCATTTCCTAAAGTGTGTGTTGAAATACATTGGCATTCTAATTGCTTGAGTGTTTCAATGCAGACATCACGTTTTTTTGCTGCAGGAGTAACCAGGACAGCAGTACATCTGAGTCTGCTAGTTTATATGAAGTTCTGGTTACATTACTCACACAGGATTTTTTTTGGGGGGGAAACAAAGTACAGTTATATGCTTCATGTGTACATTGGCCTTGTCTTTTTGGAATTTTTTGTTTTGTTGCATTGCTTGTTATGGAGACTTGCTGGATGTATTTTAGATGTCAAATTTTTTTAGCACAAACAGGAAGAAAAAGAACAAAAGAATAGAACTGGCTGAGAATAGAAGACAGGGCAAGCGCTGGCCCTGTGCACTGTTTCTGCTCTTTTCAGCCAGTTCAATTTTTTTCTTCCTGGTCATGCTAAAAATATGGCGTTTGGCGTAAGACACCAACTAGCCTGAGAGTGAGTGAGTGAGTGAAACAACTTTATTCGGTCCACAATAGACGCGAGTAAACTCAGCCGGGGGTTGTGGCGTGCCTCTGTAATCCAACTAGCCCGAGAGGAAGTTTTATTCCTGTATGTAAATTGGCTGAGATTGTGAATACATTATGTGCAGCCCACGCAAGCCCAGAAGCCACCATACTACCATGGGGACATAACCTACTACAACACTCAAAGCCAGCAGCATAAACGACCCTCTCCTCCTAGAAGGCCTAAAGTAGCTATCCCTATTGTGCCTCCTCCGGAGTCTCAAGGCATTTCTCAGGTTAGTGTGCCAGGTTGTGACTACTGCTGCATGCTATATTTGTGTTGCTATTGCATCGTACGGCTTGCACAAAATGAGAATTCCTGGCTACTTGCAGGAATCACCTTTGTGACACTTTCACCTATATTTTGGTGTTGGCCTCGCTGTTCTCTACCTGATTACCAAAAATTACCTAGTAGACCTAGGCAGCTTAGGACCGGTGCTGTAATTGCTTTGGTCTCTTTTCTTTGTCCATGTTTCGTGCACTGTTGCTTTGGCTTTTCATAAGCATGCATTTCCCTGCTGCACATTTCTGGTTGGCTGTAGTCAGGATTTATCATGTTCAGGTAAGCATGTTGCATGTTTATTTTTATTTTTCAATAAAATTCTGCCTGCTGCATGTTGGCTATAAAAATGCATTGCTTCTTTCAACTTGCTGTTAGAGCTTTGTAAAATGTAAGCCGTCAGTTATAAAACAAAAAAAAAAGGTGCTAGAGTGCAGTCTTTTATTGAACAAAAAAAAAAAAGAAGGTTGTGCTAGAGTGCAGTCTTGAGTTCCTATAAACAACTTTGAACTTTTCAGGTGTGCAGCCATGGCACATGCAGGTTGTGCCATGTAGTGCTAAACTCTGTGGGCTTATTTTGTGTTAATTTTGGCTGCCTGTAATTTCAATGGCGTATCATCATAACACTATCATTCGTAACTATCTTGCTCATGGCGGAGTTGCATAGGCTTACATAGCAAACGGACATTAAGCTGGGCAAGTTTGTAACATTATATCTTGAAAATTAGTGCAAAAATATGCCCTAAAAAGTTTCTCATTATCAGAACTCTAATGAAAATATTTAAAGGTGCACCAAAGGCAAATAACAATTTGTATCACAGTGAAAGATCAATGTTTTGGAATGTCTAAAATGTCAATGTTACGAACAGCAGTGCTCTGCTAATCGAGACATTAGGGTAAATGTAAGACACCACATCTGCTACAAATGGGGCATTTTTAAATGATCTCAACGACGTCAAAGGCTCTGATTACAATTAATCACCAGTAATCAAGCCAGCTGCAGTAAAAAAAAAAGGAGGGATTGCTTTTTGTGCGTTACAACATGCAATAAAATGCTGCTTGTCTGTTTCTGTTTGATTCATCAAAAAAAAAAAAAAAAAACTGCATGGCGTTACTACGGGGAATGGTGCAAGTGGTTCAAAAGCTGTTTTTGCCTAGGCTGGATAGGTAGTGCAATCTGGCGGGGCCCAGTTGTACCAAGCAAGCAGAAAATTTTGCAAGGACCGCCATCGTCCGTTTTCAGGCGGGTGATTTGAAGTGCGCTAACGTTGGGTAGACCAATAAAACATGATTTTATTTCAAAATAAGCATTTCCTTGACACGAAAGTAGCACTAAAAAGTTTCCAGACCGCTATTTCAGCAATGAATGTAGACCAAATATTTGCCTTTAGTGTCTCTTTAAAACAGATATATAATAGTTTATCTTTGTACATTTCTTATTAGGCCATTGCTTCAAACTTAACACATGCAGAGCTGGGAACATTTGGGAGGTAGCTGTTATTGCTACACTTTGTAGCCTACAGTCCTGTTGTGATGCAGCAAGATTTTAGATCAGTTTACGTTGGGCAACTTAACTACACTATATTTGATATAGCATTTGTTGGAAATGTAAGTACAGTTGAACCCCGCTAAACCGAAACTCGCTGGGTGGGGAAAATATTTCGCTAAAGCGAAAATTTTATTGTAGTGCAATCTAAAAAATATAGCTGATCTGAACTAGAAAAACAAAGGAATGTTTATTATAAAAATTAAAAAAGTGTCTGCTGCTTTCTATTCTTTCCCAGCAGCAACACAACACGATTCTCAATCATGCATAGTGAGGCCATGGTGAAAAGCATGCTGAAACATCGCCTACAACTGCTTTCGTGAACATACCAAACAGTTGCATTGACACATTAACACCAGCAGCTGTCTGCCATCAAAGTGTATCCGACATGCCGAGATGGAGGCAGGGTATCGTGGAGTGGTGACTTTTGCCTTATTCTATGTTATTCTTATCCATCAGTCGTGGCTAGATGATTTTCTTGATAATGCGGATGAACAGCCGCTCTGATTATGTACCACACTGGCCAAGTGCAAATAAAATAAGCATTGGAATCCGAAAAGACATCGTTCAGACTACAGCGTGGGCATGCACTAAACAGAAAAATTGCGACACTCCCCCCAGCATGTGTGCAATGTTGCAACACGTGATAACACGTAAACAAGAGAACACTACATCGTTTGCTGTAATTGTGAACAAGGCGTCCGTGTAGGGGGCCGAAACATCTTTAATTTTTGTGTATTTTACCATGGTAGATGTTTTCGCTATATTGCGCTAAGAAAATTGTTGTGTTATACAAAGTGAGGTTGGCAGCTAATCTGTAATTCAAATGGCAGAGTTGGAGCAGCCGATGGAACTCTGCAAGCACTCAGCTGTCAAGCATCGGAAACAATACCTTACAGTTTGCGGCCTTGTCCGTGTCATCCGCCATTAAAGTAGAATCTCGGTGATACGAATTCATAGAAAGCACATAAAATAGTCGTATCGTCCCGAGTTCGTATGAATCAAATAAAAGGTAAAGCCGATCATGAAGATGAGCAAACTTTATCGGGGTCAACTATTTCTTGCTGAAAAATCTATGTTAGTTTTTTAACTTCTCTAGCTTCGCTGTCTCGAGAAAGCCGCTTGAAAGAAATAAAACCATGCCGCTGTTTCCTCACTCAAGCTGCTGTCGCTTAAGCCACGTTTACACTCGGCCTCAAAGGGAGCAAAAGCGGCAAAGTTACCCGCAATCCACTCGCCTCGCCGCCTATGCACCCAGAAAACGCGCCGCGAATTCGACGTGAAAAAATATCAGTCCTGGAGCATTCACACTTGAGAAGCGTAACGAAAACACCAGAACAGCCTGAAAACCATGTTCGCGCGTCGAAAATGTTCACATTGATTCTGCCCCTCGTAACATTTACTCGTTTCCTGAGAATGGAAATCCGTGCAGAGTTCTGGTTATCCATGCAAAACTCTGAAAAGAAACAGTTCGCGCTTTTCCAAATGTTGTTTCGGGAAACAAACGACACGAGTGGACGCACCAGCAGTGTCGAGCCACTTTGGGGCATGTCGACTCGCTACTACCGCACCTTCTTCTACTTCCGATGTTCTCGTCAATCGTAATTGAAACCAGGCTCTCTGTGAACGCGTCTTTGTCGAAGCCGTGAGCTTTGTTGTGCTACACGGGTAGTTTCCCATTGCGCTGAAGCGAGCCATTGCTGACGCCCTTACCGCCATTTTTAATTTTCAGCCGGTTGTTTACATCACGTGGTTTGAGCTGGTGCAATGGTGCAATCAAAGCAGTAAAGTGGGAAGGCGACTTGCTATCTCGAGGCGGAAAAAATTGGGATCAGACCGATTTTCGTTTCATGTTGGCCTCGTGGTGTGGTTTTCCGGTCGCTTTTAGGTGGCGAAGTGAGGGAAATCGATGTGAGTTTTGCCGCATTTGCCCTCTTCGGGGCCAAGTGTGAACGTGCCTTTCCTCCCACAGTCAAGCCGCGTTGCGCTGCCCATGTACGGTGGCCAATCGCGCATTCGTATCATCCACGGTAACTGGGGAAGCCCTTCATATAACGCTGAATCACGGCGTATTCTCTATAACATAGTCCATTCGAAACAACTTTAGGTTTCGTATCATCGTGAAATTTGGATTAACTGTAACAGTTTCATTGAGATTCTACTGTACCAGCAATATGTGCGACTACTGCTGATGCCCTTAAGCAGGCAAACATGCTAAGAAAGTACGTCATGACGAGTTCCGGTTTACTCCACCCATTTTTGTAGAGTAGCATTGCCTGCTCTACAGAATGACTCCTGCTCTCACTTTGTCATTTGTGGGATCTCTGAATAAGGAACCACGCTTTCTAAGCAAACGGACACAGCAGACGCGGTCTGACCCAGCCAAACACATACATTTGTTGAACTACGTTAACCACGACGATATTGTCAGCTAAATCGAAATACATCGCTAATGAGCAATGTGCTAAAACAACCTTACACAATATTACAACACACTCAATCAACCTTACACATATTACAACACACTCAATCAACCTAAGAAACACAAGGTGGCGGGGCCAATGCTCGACTCGTCATGAGGGCTCGCGAGAGATGACTGCTCGCTCCTACCGCCACACGCAAAAAAGAACTAAGCATCGACCATGTACTGCCACCCAGGCTTGCTGCCAGGTGTCACTGCCAAAACGCTTGAGAGCACAACGCCGCCTACCGCTCGATAGTTGTGAAACCTAAATGCAGCCTATGTGCGAAACACATGCGTCACGAAGTGCAAAGGACTTTACAGGGGGTGTCAGCACCCCCACACATTGGTGTGAGTGTTAGTACCCCTCCCCCCACACTTGCTCCAAAACAAGTGGAAAAACTTTCAGATGCTGCCATTGGAATTAGACATAATTCTTTTGGATCTCGTCTTGTGTAACTACAAAACGCTGGTGTGAGGATGCGGCCATGCTAGGGAGGGCAACTTTTGCACAGTCTTCTTGCGATAATAGCAAAGCCTTTCGAGTTGTCCTCTGATGGCTGCATAGCTAAGCATGTGTGCCAGCACCTTTAGAAGCAAAGCTAGCAGTTGCTGGCCCAGCGACATTCCCCCTCCGCCCCTCTTGTCGTGCTCATTCAAGACAGAGTGTTCTCTGTTTGCTTGACAGCAAGCCTGCCAGGCGGGTGGATGTTATTGTATAGACCCTCCAAGCGGCCGAAATAGGCTGGCTCATTATACCTCTGCTTCAGCCGCGTTTGTCGCCCCTACTCACGCGCATTTACCAGCGTGTTGAACATACGATGGGCAGGGGCGTCTTATCAGTTTGAACTTGATACCGAACATGACGGCCACGGCAACCACAAAAACTGGTGGAGAGTTTCCATATTGCTATCACAATAATGCGCTTCGTATTTGAGAAAACGCTGCATTGGACAAATGTTGTTTCACATGTACTGTGAGAAGTGGCAACATCTGCACTGGACGTTATCTCTAACTGCTCCAAACTTGCTTAAAAAGGCCTTTCTGGCTGTTTCAAGCCTGCTCGAAAATGTCTTTCTGGATGCTCCAAGTCTGCTTCAAAAAGCACTTTTGACTGCTCCCATACCCATGTACTCTGTTCCACCCCTGCTCTTATTTCCGTGAAAACCTGTTGCCCCTAGTTCTCTTCATGCATGCAGTCATGCATACAGCATGCTGTCCAAGCTTGAGCCTGTCCAAGGACGCCTCTCCTTTTAAGGGCAGATTCTACTCTGAAGTCACTTTTTTTTTTAATATTCACCCCAGAGCAATGATACTTGAGCTGTGTATGGAACTTTTTATGCTGATTTCAAATGTATAATTAGTTTTCTTGCAAGCTGCTTACTTTTAGCTCTGAGAAATGACAGTGAAAACCTTAACCCCCTCCCTCTTTTCATCCCTAAATTTCCGTAATTTTTTACCATTCATAGTTCATAATATTTTAAATAAAGTGTAGAATACAAATAACTAATTAGGAAGCATGTACAAAATACGTAATAGGCATGAAAAGTAGTAGACTTCAAAAAACCTATATTTCACCAAACCTAGTAAAGGTTTACTTAAATTTTTTATTATAAAATAAAATATGCAAATATAAACTAGATAATTGTATTTGTCATACTTTGGAAAAATTTTGGACAAAATTTTATGCAGATCCAAGCACTAGAAGTGCCCAAAAAAGGAAAGGCACATTGAAAAAAAAAAAAAAAAAATTGGCGAAATTTGTGTTTTGAGGAAAACGAGTTTTAAAGTTAAAATTGAGTTTTTATTTATGAAAGATGTCTATACATTCGAGGAAATTTGCACATCAGAAACAACAGTCCTTCTTGTAGTGGCCACTGCGATCGACAATAACCAGCGGCGGCGCATTATTGGCGGTAAGGTGCTCGAAAACTGCACACTTTGGGCCTTTTAACAGGCACCTTGTGCTCTTTAGATGCAATGTTAAAGCTTTCAGTCAAGTCTCGACATCTATTTTTTTTTTTTTTTTCAGAACAGTAGAGATACTAATCTTATCAAAACAGGCGAAAATAAAAAATCAGTAATTTTCAAGAACTCGCGTTTTTCGACCCGCATCTCCTCTTAATATCATGCATCTGGTGAGCAGAACTTCATCCCTTCTGGCTTTGTTGTCACATGCCAGCAAAAGTAAAAGAGATTGTGAGAAACATAAACATGGTGCATTCATGGCATTTTACGTGCCGAAAGTACAATACTATTGTAAGGCACGCCACAGTGATGGATGCTGGGATACTTTTGACTTTTATGGAGTTGCATAATGTACACCTAAATTTAAGTGCAGTAGTAGTCTTGCATACGTCCTCCCATTGGGTTGCAGCTACTGTGGCCAGGAATTGAACCTATGCCTTGAGCTTATCAACGCTACACCATACGTGTTAATTCTTTCTAGTGGGTCAGTGTTAACATCAATTTTTGTTGCCATCATCGTATGTGAGGTTTAGCATAGTCAAATGAATCCAACAGATAATTAGGCAAAGGAAGCATAGGGGACGAAAGTGTAGTAATTGTATATAAATTGAAATTAATCTAAGTTGGACAAGGTTCTTAAAATAGCTAAAAAAATGTGTCGAGTTTTTGGAAACCACAATTTTGCAATATTTATAGTCCAAATTATGGTATGGTGAAATGGCCTTTTTTTTTTCCCTTGCAGGACCAATAGATAAAATTACAAATGTTCTCAACACTTGACTGTTTTCTCATCTTTGTAATTTTTGTGAAGCGTCTCTGCCTTACGAAAGTTTTGGTGAAGTTTCCATGAAGTGATATAAACAAACTACGAGTCATTCTTTTCAGAAAATACTGAACTACAGACCAAAGTTGCTTTTTTTTTTTAACCGCCTTGATGCTATTGTAATGATTTCACAAGTAATAGTTAACTGGGAGCTAATTTTTACCTTCCAAGTTTGAAAACTACTTCTGATCAGAGCCATAGCACTGCATCTAATTTGCTTTAGCCTGGAGGGTTGGATCTTTAAAGAACTTCATGGTTCTAAAAAAGAACTTTTTGTAATGTAAGTTACTGTAAAGACCTGTAAAATGCTACCTAATAAAAATATGGAAATTTTCTAATCCGAACCAATCCTTTCTAAATATGATGTATGAAATCTGTTTGCATATTTAAATTGTCCATTCAATGATGCACATACATGCCAATTTTTATTAGGATAGTATAACGAAAAACTTTATAGTATAAAAAAAAAATCTCCTTTAATGTCGGTGGGATTCGAACCGACATCCTTGCTCTGCCGCAGTGGTCTAGGGGCTAAGGTACTCTGCTGCTGACCCACAGGTCGCGGGATCGAATCCCGCTTGCGGCGGCTGCATTTTCGATGGAGAAGAAAATGCTGTAGGCCCGTGTATTCAAATTTGGGTGCACGTGGAAGAACCTCAGGTGGTCCAAATTTCTGTAGCCCTTCACTGTTGGAGTCTTTCATAATCATATTGTGGCTTTGGGACATTAAACCCCATATATCAATAAATCAATCAGTATCATCAAACTGACATCCTTGAATTATGTGTCAAGTGCTCTAGCGATTTAGCTACTAAGGAAGATGCTTTCTGGTGTTTTTCATTGATAATTCCGGATGAAGGTCAATCTGCTGTTCTTGAATCTTACCGCTACTGTACGAAAACTTGCCGAAATGACAGAAGAAAATTTTCACTCAATTTGTGGAGTTTTTTCTTCTTCAATAAAATGGTACAATCGAACCCCACCGTAACGAATGCCACTTCAATGAAATTTCCGTTTCTGCAAAAAATTCTCAGTTCTCCATCAGCAATCATAGGAGTCAATGCATAAATATTCTCGCCACACTGAACACTTTTTTTTTCTGTTGCTCTGCTTCTAGAAAATTTGATGCAATTTCAGGCTCAGATATTCAATGCTGTACAGTAAACACAATCTTTAACATTTTGATGCATTTTTAGAACATAAAAATATGTCTATGAAGTCTAAAACGCACTTGGGCACCACCAAATATTGCCTTCGTTTACTAAGCATGGAGGCCTCCATTGCTCAATAGCGATGGCAGTGAGATTGCCCTGCTTTTGCCTCTGGCTTGCTTCTGAGCCGCAGCCAATCCAAAGCTGAAGCTTAGTTTCTTGCAGGCTTCTCTTAAGTGTGATTGTAGAATGGTGCCTTTTTGATGCCAGTGCTTTTGGGTATTTTTGCACTTAGCCAGTGTGGTTACTGGTCAGAGTTGCTCTTTGTCATCCATGTTATCAACAAGATAAGCTAGCAGCTACTATGGATGGTCAGAATAGCGTATCTCGGCATCGTCGGATACCTTTTGCCATCAGACAGCTGCTGGTTCTAGCGTGCAAGTGCAACTGCTAGGTTCATTCGCGAAAGCCGTTGTTGCCGTTATTTCAGCGTGCTTTTCAACATGGTGTCACTGTGCATGTGTGAGAATCTCATCTAGAAGCCGCTGGGAAATTAAAGGAAGCAGCCGATACTTTTCGAATTTCGGCCATGAAGTTGTTTGTTTTGCTAGCTTAGGTTGACTATTTTTTTATTATTACATTAAAATGAAATTTTTTCTTTAACAAAAGATTTTCTGCGTCCTGTCAGTTTTGTTGTAGCGGGGTTCAACTGTACCATTCTTTCAATTAAACGAAGTTTTTTTATTTCAATAATCACGTAAAAAAAGTTAACTTGAAGATGGCTTCACTACATGGCAATGCAGTGAAAGCAGACACACCATCAATAGCCCAACCTGAACGAACAAGTGTGGCCATGTGGCATCAGGAAACACAATTACGAGTATAATTTGGTAATTTTGTTAGAAAATTTTATGACCATTTCAGTCAGTGGTAGGGAAAAGGTTGAAGCTGAATATATATTACTTGAAAGTCACCTGAGCATTTTTATGTGTGTGTAATCTGAAAGTCACCTGAGCATTTTTATGTGTGTGTGTAATCTGTTTTAATTAAACAATTTATGTGATGAGAGCCATAAAAAATTTAACATAAGTGTTTTTACAGAGATGTGCGTCTAAATTTTTGGGTAACAATTGTGGTTTGCTATACGGTATGCTTTGAAATTGTGAACGTTCAGCCAGTCATTGCAGATGTGTGATTTTGCACTTTATCTTTTTTCTAGGAGAGTGCTCCTGAGCCAGTTGGTGTTACATCTCATCGGAGCAAGTCGGATGAGGATCTTGATAATAAATTTGTTGGCTCAGAACGAGCTTTTCGGGGTGGCCCAACACAGCAAGCAGTTGAAAAGTTGTAGCGTTTTATTGCCATTTTTATCCTCAAGTGCCACTGTGCTGCAGGTCGCAAGATAGAATCCCGGCTGCGGCGGCTGCATTTTCGATGGAGGCGAAAATGCTGTAGGCCTGTGTGCTCAGATTTGGGTGCACATTAAAGAACCCCAGGTGATCGAAATTTCCGGAGCCCTCCACTACGGCGTCACTCGTAATCATATGGTGGTTTTGGGATGTGAAACCCCACATATCTATCAAGGTCTTCCTAGTTTTGGCAGGGCAGTATTTTGTTCTCAGAGGTTAATTCTGCAGCATCTGTAACCCCCTTGTTGAGTGGAACGAGAAATGCAACTGAACATGCAATTCAAAATATTCTGCACGCAAAAGGCATGTAGAAAAACCTGGCATGACCAAGCAACCCTTCCCACTTGTGGCCACTACATTGCTGAACATGCTCTGCAAATGTCTCTTCAACATAGCTGAAAAATTATACAATAGTGTTTGGATCCCACTTATGAATTCAACAACTTTGTCATTACATTGGCATGATGTATTATATGTTGTGGGCATGGTTACTTCATTAGAAGTTAACATGGTTGTTTAACATAGTTGTTCTTATGTGGCATGTTGTTTATAACCTCTTCTCTAAATTGAAAAAAAAAAAAAAAAGTCGGTGTGTATTTACATGTGTGCAACTGTTACTGAGACGGTCTAGTGGCTGAGGTACTCGGCTGCTGATCCGCAGGTCGCGGGTTCGAATCCCGGCTGCAGCGGCTGCATTTCCGATGGAGGCGAAAATGTTGTAGCCCCGTGTGCTCAGATTTGGGCGCACGTTAAAGAACCCCAGGTGGTCGAAATTTCCGGAGCCCTCCACTACGGCATCTCTCATAATCATATGGTGGTTTTGGGACGTTAAACCCCACATAATGGAATGGAACTGTTATTGAGACAACAAAGAATAGAAAAATAGCAGCAATAGCAACGACCTTGCGAATGTTATAAACTGTGCCACATCACCCCTAGGTGTAAAACATACTTACTCTACATTCTCTTGTTAAAAAAAAAAAAAAATACACTGACCGTAATTCATATTGTGATGGGATGATTATATTTTGGTTAGCATCTATATATCTCTTTAAAGTTCCATGAAAGGAACGCATATTAACTTTGTCCACAATTTTGTAGCACGTAAAAGTAATTAATAAATGAATGTACTCTTGAGACAAGGATATAGATGTGAATGACTGCACATCTGTGCCGAACTTTTGCCACTAATGCACACGTTTGTGAAGAAAGCGTAGTCACACGTTATAAATGGAGACTTTCCGGAACTACTCGTCCGTAATTGCGAGCTCGACTAGAGCGTGCAGTGACGATCACATATCTACGACGTCAGGGGCTCACTCTTTCAATCGACAAATGCACAGTGCTTGCGTTCACGCGCAAGCATATGTCGCAATACCCGATATTTATTAATGGGACAGCGATACCTGCTGTAACGCACCACAAGTTCCTTGGGGTTCTCGTACACTGAGATCTATCGTGGACGAGGCATGTCGCCGTACTTAAATCTAAATTGAAGAGCTTTGCTCACATTCTTCGCCACGTAGCAGGAGCAAGATGGGGCCCATCAGAATCATCGCTACTTCAATTATACAATGCTCTATTTGTGGGATACATTCGATACAGCATGCCGGTGCTTTCCAATACGAGACCTAGTTGTGTGAAGACACTCGAGAGTGTTCAAGCTCAATGCTTACGAAGATGCTTGGGTCTACCACGCTGCACTTCAACAAATGGGATAATCGCAGAGGCTCTGGCTTGTCCCATCAGTGTATACATGCTCTGCGAGCCACTTAGAGTTCACCTACGATTACTGAGCAGACACAGACAGCACCCACTGTCAGTACTACCCGCCACTCACCCAGATTGCAGTTTCTCAAAAGTAATATTGCGGCATGAAAATATTATACCACCAAGGTTTTCTCCGCCAAATGCCCCTGCAGTGCCACCATGGGTTCTGCCTAAACTACCTATCTCTTTTACGATACCTGGAATTACGAAGAAGTCGCTCATTTCTTCTGTTGGCCTCGGACATCTGACCCTATATCACATTTATACAACGTACAGTGATTCTCTGCACGTGTACACCGACGGACCCACCACGCTAAACACCTCCGCCGCAGCCTTTGTCATCCCAGACATGGATATCGCTCGACGATTCAAAGTGGACCATAAATCCACATCAACTGCCGCAGAGCTTGTCGCTATCCGAGAGGCAATAAGGTTTATTTCCGGAGAGCGACCTCAAGCCTGGACGATTTTCTGTGATGCCAAACCCGCTTTGCAAACCATTAATTGCATCATGAAGCAAGGTCCATATTACAGCTTGGCAATAGAAATCACAGAACTTATTCAGGTTGCTTCAACAAATGGCCATCTTATAACTTTCCAGTGGATTCCCGCTCATTGCGGCGTGATGGGAAACGAAGAGGCAGACGCTCAAGCTAAAAATGCCTTAAGCAGTGCCCCTGAAGTACGCATTGCGTTTTCACGAGCTGACACGAACGCCCTGCTTCGCTGCGTGATGCGCAGCTACACACTTCAGCACTGGACCAAACCGGAACGGCGACACAAGCGACTTCACAAATGGGACCCGGAAATGAGGTTCCGCATGCCTCCTAAATTGAAACGGCAACTCACAAGTATGATCCACCGCATTCGTCTTGTTGTAGCGTACACTAGACGTTACGCACATATCATCGGTCGCAGTGACACCGGTCCTAATTGTGAACACTGTGATGTGCCAGAAACACTTGAGCACATATTTTGTGTCTGCCCAGCATACGCACGTGAACGACAAACACTGATTTCTTCTACTGAACAATATCGCAGTAGGTCATTAACTGATGAGACCATGTTGGGCCCTTGGCCAGACACCAACAGTGCAACTGCGGTCACAAGAGCAGTTATTACCTTTTTAGAAACAACTGGACTATGTGCGCGGCTCTAAAATGTGTCTCAGCTAGAGAGAACACTACATACTCACCTCTCTATCTCACCTTCGTCATCCATTAATCTTTCTTTTCCCCTTTCCCTTCCCCCAGTGTAGAGTAGCAGGCTAGAGCAAACTATCGCTCAGGCCAACCTCTCTGCCTTTCTGTAAATAAACATACTTCCTTCCTTCCTTCTTTAATCTTTGATATGTCATATCTCTTACTTTTGTTTATAGCTAGCGATTATCCTGAGGTGATCACCGATGTAAACATGTTTGTTAGTGTGTGTCCTTATGTTTGTACTAATATACGGCAACTGGTGCTGCAGCCATGTGCAGCTGCTGTCGCGTTAAAACTGTGTCACATTGATTGATATGTGGGGTTTCGCATCCCAAAACCACCATATGGTTATGAGAGACTCCATAGTAGAGGGCTCCGAAAATTCCGACCACCTGGGTTTTTTTTAACGTGAACCTTAATCTGAGCACACGGGCCTACAGCATTTTCGCCTCCATCGAACTGTGTCAAACCTGAAAGGGCTGCTTATTAGGCACTGTATTTTAACTTCCTTCTTTACTGGATATAATGTGAATTCGCTCAAGCCTAGAATACTTCTAGTGGCCACCAAGGCAAATGTACCATCTCAATAAGAGCATACACAATATAACAGTGTGAAAGGGAACACCAGACTTTTTTGAGGCTGCTTAGGCTGGTTTTGTTATCTATGGGTGGAAAAGGAGTGTAATTATGCAGCATGAGAACTCTTTTAATTGCATTGAACAAAACACACTTTTATAAAAACAGCTGTTTGAAAATGTTTTTTTTTTTACTTTTACATTGGCGAAGAGTGTACTCTAGCCATTCAACAAATCTGGCTACATCAGTGTGACCCTGATACATACTTCTACTCAGCTGGCATACCTGTTTCGGTAAGTGGCAGCATCCGTAACACCATCGGAGGGCGGTGTATCCTTTGACTAGGAGCATGCAACTGATATTACAAGTTGGAAGCATGCAATGTCAATACACTTGTCGCCGTAGTTTATAGATCTGTAAGGATGATGAGGTAAACCACCTTGCAGATACTGTACATAGATTGGTGAATTCTGTGACAATTTGTGAGTGATATTCAGCTATACTACATGTTGCTATAGAAAGTGCATTGTCTTTGAATACAGTGCTCCAACATGGCAATGTCCGCTAGTAGCCATTAAGGAAACTTTCATGTTGTTGACCGTTGTTAGCCCTAAAAAATATTTTTTTGCACTTCCTCATTGTATCCCAGTACTTAATAGAACATTTAAAACAGTATCAGTGTTTATAGTAGTGTAACTGTAGCTTGGGTATCTGTTTTATTGTCTGATGTTCTTATCATTTTGACAGTACTGCCATGTTTCCTTATTTGCCTATCTCTTGTGTTTGTTTTTGCTCTCTTTCTTTTTTTACTTGTTATGCTTGATTGTTCATAGAGAGCTAAAACTCCAAACCCTGTAGTTGGAATCCTGAGCATGGCTCAGAATCGCCAGATAAGACTCGTAATCAATGAACAGGCCACAGTAAGTATGGCTGTTTTGTGCGAAGAAATTATGGGAAAAGGGGTCAAAGGAAGCACAAAGTTCCGATTCTCCTTGACCCTTTTCCACATTATTTCTTTGCACAAAAGAGCCATACTTCCTGTGGCCTGGTTCTTGAACATGAACAGACTAGCCTAGTAACATGTACTTCTAAACACACATAGGTTTTCATGCCATGGTTGCCTTCATTAACTGCGCTATAATGCAAGGTATGAAAAAGGCACTGTGTGGACAACCAGGGTTTTTACTTTTTTACATTTTTAATATTTTGTTTAAATAGTTTTGCAAATTTATTAAATGGGCTTCTAACCTTGTCAATAGGTGATGCCAATATCTGGTTGCTGACTAACCTTGCTATGGACGCTGAAGGTATAAGTACCAAAGTGACATTGTTTGTGCATAGGACATACTGGAAGAGTGGCAGCTTTTGTTGAATAGTCACTTAGGTTGAGAAAAATATTTTTGATATTGTCAGGGTTATTGCAAATTTCTGCATTTCTCAAATTTGTTCAAATTTGTTACTTTGATGGGATTGTTGGGAATTGACATAGCCAAGCTCTTTGATGTGGTTGTTGTGTTGTAGCTAGAGACTAGTGTTCTTTTCTTTTTTTCTTACGAAAAAGCTTTTGAGAACTCGAAGCATCGTAATTCTTCTCAATCAACTTTTCAAGGTTGTTCTGCTGGTTGGTGAACAGGCAATAGGTTACGCTCATTTCTCTTATATGGGTGTTAAAAGTCCCATCGGTATACTTCTCTCCATATTTGTTGCTTGCAAATGCGGAAAGGCTTCTTTTGTTATGTATTGTAATACAGTAAAAGCTCGTTAATTCGAATTCCACGGGAACGCTGAGCAATTTCGAATTAAACAAAATTCGAAATAATGAAAGTGAGCAAAAGTGGATGGATTTCGGGGGTGGGGGCACGAAAAATATTTATTGGCCAAAAAAGTCGATGATGACCATCTGCTTCTTTTCTCTGAATGCCACAGCTGTGGCTCTCTGTTCCAGCGCGCGGACGCGGCGCAGGGAATCCTCTTCACCCTCTTCAAAGCTGAAGAAGAGACGCGCCACATTAAGTGCCTCCATCACCGCAGAAGCTGACGGGCGCACAGGCGCTTCGTCATTTTCGTCTTCCTCATCTTCTGGCTCTTCAGCATCAGGCTGCGCACCGGCTACTTGAGCGATAATGTCCTCATCAGTCAGGGCACCACACACCGATGCACCGGTGTCAACTTCAACATAATCGGCAAAATGTACGCCCCGAAGAGTGTCACGCAATGCCACTGGCATGAGCTCCTCAGCCCCATCCACGTCGACGTCACAACTATCCTGCGCACTTCCAGCTGCAAATCCACTGTGGCGGAAACAGTTTGCGATTGTGGTCGCGGTCACCTGTTCCCATGCGCGCACCAACATGTGCATGGCAGTGAGCAGCGTAATGCCAAAGTCCTTCCTGTCGCCCGCGCACAAAATCATTCGTGAATGAACAACGTGCTCG